AATCGGATCACTGGATGTCAAGAGTTAGATTATTTAATATTGAGATGTGTGTTATGAAATAACTGATTATACATGTACATGTATTTGGAACGTGAAAGTTTATGAACAATACCCGATATAGATCTATAAAAGGTATCATGATCAGCATTTGTAATGTTCTTTGTGCTCAGAAAATTACACATGATCTATGGAAAGTTATAGGGGGTCCGTTACGGTTACTTCTGACGAGCACTGTAAATACAAAATTTACTCCGTGAATATGATAGATTAGGCCCTTTTTGAGCATATTCACGGATTAAATTTTGTATTTACTTCTTAGTAAAGAAGTTTATCCATTTTATAAAATTCAAATGTTTGACTTTAGATGCTATGCACCATACTTTCACAATAATTGTGCGTAGGTAGTGTGATTTGTGAAAAAATTAAATTAATTATTAATAAATAAAAAAATAAGAACAATATGTCATGATATTTCAATTACTCCATATACAGACTAGCCGCAATTACATTATTGTCGACGTCGTATCAGTTTCCGGTTTCATTCCATAAACACGAACAACTTTCCAATACGTCTGGAAAATATTTACTTCATTTTTAAAGTCTTGCACTAATTCATTGTAACGGTCATCGTCAAGTCCCAAAAGCGGAGCAACTCTTGCCTTCAATTTCGCGAGTCCTTGTAACCATTCGGAAAGCGCCAACTCGCCAACTTTTTCACCCCATTCGCCGATTGGATGATATTTTTCTTCTTTCATCACTTCACTTAGAAAACAGTTTCGCAAATATCCTTCTAAATGTGGAGTGAGAATGGGACTGATTCCTTTATCGCGGTAATATGCCTGAACTGTATAGGATAATATAGATACATTAAAAAGTTGCATTGGAAATTTTGAATTTTTTTTAATTGTAAACTTACCTCCAGACATTAATGACTGTGCTGCCGGGCCTTCATTCATTCCTTGCGCATCGACTTCCATTAATTCCACAAATCCGGTAGGTTTAGTAACTCTAGTTAATTCCGGCAAAACGGTTTCAGTCCATTGACTATTTGTGAAACTGCTTCCAAGAAACCTTATATGTACAAAATCGAATGTATTATCTTCCATTGGTAATTTCTTCAAAATATCGTGTTGTTGGAATTGGACATTTGGAAGATCAGTGTTTGGAAATACGTTTGATTTATCGATCCCAATCACCGTCGCTTTGCTATATTCTTTAGCAATGTCTTGAACCCATAACCCTGGCCCACATCTATCTCAAATTTTATAATTTTTAACACTTTATTAAATAATATATTAGATAAACAAAGTGGCGTACCCAACATCAAGCACTTTCGCTCCTTCAGTTTTCAACTTTTCAACGACCGGCGACGAGAAATTACTTTGAAAAATATACCGATACAAAAAATGTTGTACAGCTCGATTATTTTCTGTATCAAAATCTGGTAACGGATATTCAAAGTCGTCGTTCTTGCTTAAATCTGTTTGGCTTTTTGTCGAATCACGCGACGTAATCGTTATCACTGGAATATTACTTGTTTTTCTCTCGATTGAACCAGCATTTCGTTCATTATTTTTAAGTTTTTTCGATTTCGAGAAACATGCTCCCATCTTTTTTTTTTAGTTTTTCTTGTTAGAAAGAATTCTGAAAAGAAAAACCAAAAAGAGCAATCGATGTAGATTATTACGATTAGGGTAAATAAAGTTTGTTATCGTAATTTTTCGGAAATTTGTTTCGCTTACAAGATTAATGCAGTGAAACATTTCGTCGCTTTGTACGTACGTATGCAGAAATATGCAAAGAACTTGGGGGTAAAAGTTCTGTTACATGTACCGGTACGTATATGTATTTAGCGTTAGCGTTAGACCAGCTGATTTCTACCACGGATACATGGTAATCATGTCATATCGATATATGATTGGTTAATTGTTATAATCATCATGGATAGATAGGAAGCTGCTACATGTATAACGATAATTGAAAGAAATCAGCACGCCCTTATCGTTATTACATACAAGATAATTTATACCATATCGATATGTAATAGTTAAAATTTTATTATAGCGATAGCAAGATAATTATTGTGGTATTGAATATTTAGTTTAGTTTTGGGTTTCTCATATTTTCTGATTATTGAAACTTCTAAAAAGAATATATACTAGCGCTAATATTTTATGCATCTCGTTCTAATAAAACTTAAATACAGTACACGAAATAGCGATAGCAAGTCGAAATAAAATAATCTAATTAATAACGATAAGACCAACAGAGCGGAGATTTCCGAACACGTGATTATTTGTTGGTGACGTAATCACATGGTAGGTGGGAAAATTGAAAAAGATAACGGTATTTAGCGTAAGTAATTAAAAGAATATTTAATATTGATAATTTCGAAAATATTAAAATATTTTTCTGATATTTTGGAATCCGAGTGAGTTGCTAACTGATTTCTGAAATACATGGTACATGTACACGTATAAGATTATTGGTCTTGGAATTATATTAATGACAGAATCAGTAACACCATATACGTAACAATTAACGAGTCTTATTGTTACATCATGTTGCCTATAAACTAACTTTGTGCTCTGACAGAAAATATACATGTAACCGAAACCTGTTGTCAATTGAATTGTTTTCATTATGTATTAAATTTACTACGTTAACGCTTCAATCGACGATTACTGTTACAATGAAGAGTAAAAAAACATTCACATTGATATACAGGGTGCAAAGAATGTTCTGATTATAATGGTCTAGCGAGTCGAAAAGAATGAAATATATACCGATGTTGAATATCTTGTTTGGAACACAATCCGGTTGGACGTAGATATGACTTTCAGTGAGATCATAAAAAGACAAATTTAAACAATGTGAAATTGTGTTAAAATCACATTAGTATGAACAATATCTAAATGTATGATGCTTTTTTGTTAACGTTAATCAATTCGAGTTTATTAATACAGTGGCCCGCATAGATAACGCACCACTTGCATCGCCGATCATTAATCACTTGATTGCGATCATATGAGAGCAAACGATCACAAATAACATTCAAACATCTAATACAGCCCTATAAAGAAATAAAAAACGAACAGATATTATTCCCAATTATATGCAATACTTGTTAATCATCTCAAGCACCAGTGCATTTTTTTGCTCTTTTAACAAGAGCAAAATAAGCTTTTATCAAAATTTTTTTCCAATATATAATTATACTAAAAACCACAATAATAAAAAAATTATTTATATTTATTTTATTATAATTATATTTTTTCTAAGTTTATATAAGTATTGTTACACATTTTTCACTAATAGGGTAATTAGCTAATAAATGTGAACAAGGGTTGTGAGAGATAATTAAACAAATATAAGAAGAGTAAGCAAATAATATCTAAGTCCTATGCCAATTTCTACTGAAATTGTTATAGTTCAAAAGGGAAAAAAAATAAGATAATAGTGTTTCAATTAGGTATAGTGTTCTGAATAACTATACTAACTAATTAATTTATAAATTATTTAATTAAAGTGATTAACAAATTAACTAACTAATTAAAATA